GGAATACGCCTCAGGTCTGCGCACCGAATCACAAGTCAACAATTACCCAATGCGACACAGCCGAGGCGTTGATCCCGCAAAAAGGAAGTGCAGGAGAGGAAAAAAAGAAAGAGAGGCAGGTCGCGCCGAACGGACCTGACACATTGACTGTTGACTGCTGCCCCTGCTGCTCCCATGCAGCATACATTCTCTTATTATATTCTTATATATTTTTATCATTTGCTGCTCAAAGTGCCTTAGGTTTTGTGTTACTTATTTATCTACTTTACATTTCATTTGTATTTTGTGGCATTCCTGTGGACGGCAAAGTAAGAATTTCATTGTACAGGGAAACACGTTTCCTAACTGTGCATATCACCTTGACCTTTGAAGTGACCACAAGCAACAATGTTGCAATATTGCTTCTTTATTGAGTTGGGCCAATGTTATACACATATTAAAATTAATTAGCATGGTAAATGTTTTGGGGGAAAACGCGCACATGATCTACTTTAACAGTACAGCAGAAACAATTAGGATGACATTTCATTACTACTTAATATGGCAGGAATTTTACTCACTACTGCTGTTACTAATCAAGACAAACTTGATAAATTACAGCCAATCCTGGTCCTGCAGAATCTTGGAGTTGACCAGTGGACCGGGCCAAAACAGAGGAAAGTTCATAACGAAAAAATTGTCCAAGATTTGGGAGATTACAGCAAAGAAATACCGTTACAAACAGAAATACGAGTAATACAGTTATACCAAAAAAAATGAGGCCATTCCAACAAAACTTGATCCCATTGTTGTATTAAAGTAAAACAATTACTCCTTTTCAACCAACACAGTCCAAGTGCTAGAGCCAGTTCAGAGTTGGTTCAGCTTGCAAACCTAAGAACCATTCTGCTTTTCCACAGGCTAGAGCACCACCACAGAGCCACGTAATTACATTACTCTATACATCTGAATATGCCTCAGCATTCCCAACATCAAGCACAACGACAACGGCAGACTTTACAGTCTCCCTGTGGTGTCTCCTTTGCCATGTTGCTCTTGGCTTTGTGAGCCTACACTGGAATCTAAACATGACTGGCTCAACACATTTGAGTTGCTCATCATGATTTGTACGGACAGCAGTATTGGCACGGACCGTAGGATGTTAGCTTTAACAAGTAACAGCCTGTCTCCTCTACAGCCAACTGCTGCTTCAATTTCACGTCAATGAAGCTCGTGGTTTTCCTTTGGTATTAAAAGTTAGGCAAGCTACACAAATCTCTTGCTATAGCATTTTAAAAATGGTGGTCATAGAATTGTAGCTGGTCCTTGGTCACAATAATCCCAGCCCAGCCCCTGACACAAGAGGCTCTTATTTCTAGCCCAGCAGAGAGTTGGTGCCAAGTTAGAACCAGTTTACCTGGTCCAGAGCCATGGATGTCAGAACTTAGAGAGCTGGTTCAAAAGTAGGCACTGGCCCTGAACCAACCCTAGAACTGCCTTGGTCAAAATGGAGTAAATGTGACCTCTTCTCAATGGGAGATGTTATACTTTCAATTACAGGCAAACTCTCCTAAACTCATCTTTATAGTTTCTTCTGTGGAAACAGATTCTCTATTTTTTCCAAGCTTGAAATTTCAGATAACATTTTTCAAAGGAGCTAGCTGCAATTCTGTCTTAACTTCTGTGGGTTCTTGTGTGTTTTGGTCATGAACCACTACAACTAAACCCTCTCTCATATATTCTGCAAATACAAGGCTACTTGTCTGTACCTGATCTTATCCACCTTCCAAACTGACACACATTAAGTGTCTTTTTCCTCAGATGTTGCAGTGGTGTGGCTTTTCACAGTGTGGGCTCTTCTCACGTGCTTTTTCAAGGTGCCTATCAGAGAGAATTTTCTCCTACAGGCGGTGCAAGGATATGGTCTCTCACCTGTGTGGATTCTCATGTGGACTTTCAAGTTATAATGTCTTTTGAAAGTATTCTGACATATTCTGCAGGAAAAAGGTCTCTCACCTGTGTGTGTTCTCATGTGGACTGTAAGGTGATTACTACGCATGAATCTCTTCAGACATATTTTACAGGCATATCGTCTGTCACCTGTGTGAATTCTCATGTGGCTTCTCAAGTCACCTCTCTTTTTGAAAGCCCTCCCACATGTATTGCAGGAATGTGGTTTCTCATCAGAATGGCTTTTTAAATGATCATGGAAAGATGAGGACTGAATGAACCTTTTCCCACATGTTTCACAGGAATATGGCCTCTCGCCTGTGTGGAGTCTAAAATGAGTATCTAATGATGATTTTTGCCTAAATCTTCTACCACAAGTCTCACAACAATATGACTTCTCACCTGTGTGGACACTTAAATGATTAGCTAATCCTGATTTGTGCCTAAATTTTTTCCCACAAGTCTCACAACAATATGACTTCTCACCTGTGTGGACACTTAAATGAGTAGCTAATCCTGATTTCTGCCTAAATTTTTTCCCACAAGTCTCACAACAGTATGACTTTTCACCTGTGTGGATTTTTAAATGAACTTTCAAATGAGTTGAGCGCTTAAATTTTTTCCCGCAGGTTTTGCAAGAATATGGTTTATCCTGTGAGTGGACTCTCAGATGTGATTTCAACAAGGAGATAAACCCAAAATCTTCTCCACAAGTGTCACATTTGAAAGCCTTTTTACCCGCCTGAGTGTCACAGTGAGTCTCTGACATGGCAGAGTTGTCTACACTGTCACATCTTGTGGCTTCGCTCGTGTGGTTAGACGAGGTATCGATACATCTGACAGTCTCCTCAAGTGTCTGACAAGAATACGACTGCTCACCTGTGTGAACTCTTAAATGAGTTTTCAAATTTGATGGATACTTGAATGTTTTTTCACACGTTTCACAAGAATAGGGCCTCTCCCCTGTGTGCCTTCTCAGATGTATTTTCAATATAGACCTAAACAAAAAATCCTTTCCACAGGTGTCACATTTGAAGGACTTTTCTGTGGGAGCATCAGAGCCAGTTTCTGACATGGGAGAGTTGTCTACACTGT